TTATTTGTCTTAACTTACGTGTTATTTGGTTCACAAATACTTCAGTCCTATCTTTTGTCTTATTCTATTTTAGTATGGGCTTATAAGATAAAAATATAATATGATTTGTCTAAAGTTTAGGCATTTTAATCAATCTTTTCTTACTTTTCTTATTCTAGGATTGAAATATATAGAATAAATGACAAAATCCTCAAAAGAAAAAAAAAAACTTAACAATGATAATGATAATGATATTTAGTCCTAAATTATACTTTAATATATATATCATATTTGATCTTTTATTATAGGCAAATGTTTAGATATTTACCTTCTATTACGATTTACCATAAGTATCCTTCTCTAAATGATTATAAATAGAGAACTTTCACCCCATTTATGTGGGGTGGTTTTAGCAAATATTCTCATAAACAATTATCTAAATAAGTTAAATTTGAAGGTAAAAAATAAAATCACTCTTGGATCAGATCAGGACGTAGCCAATTCTAAAGTTATGGTGGCAGCACGATGTTAACACACATACACGAGTCACATAGTACCAGCTCATCCTATGTGGAAGTTAAATTAGTGTACTCTGAGAGTAGATTTTAAAATCGTAGTGGCTGGTGGTCCTATGCACAGTATTTGTAATCAAGAAGAAGAGAGGCTGGCTGTTTAATGCTGAGTTAGTAGGATCATAGCCATTGGTGGCTTTTATTTCAGTCTCATTATGCATTGCTATTTTTTGATAAGGTGGGGTTTGGAAGTGATGTGTCCAAGAACTGATGTGATGGCTCTCTCTTTCTCTCTCTCTCTAACCTTGAGAGGGAGAGGGAGAGGGAGAGGGAGAGGGAGAGTTGTATTGCATATCATATAACTAGAAAAGTACTATGCCATGACAGAGGACAAAGTTTCTTTAGTCTTTACAGAGTGTATGTCTAGTTTTTTCTGTTAATGAAATGGTCAGATGAAATTGTGCGCCATAATGGTGTACTCGGAGGATCTGCACTAGAACCAGCAATTAGATCATATTCAAACTTTCCAATCCCTGGCTAGAATTTAGATCTTCACCTGGATTAAAATATTGATATCTTGATTTTACAGGTAGGTTGATAAAATATAGATGAGATGTTGAAGTTGATGTATATTTATAACAGTAGTTTAGATTGATAAATGAGCCGTTTATACTTTTCAAGAAATTATAAATCTTTAACATTGTTTTTCTTTTTGTTTTTAAATTAAAAAAAGGTGGGACGAGAGACCGAACTTTTAATCTCAGGAGAAAGGTAATTTGTATCTTATTTGGAATTCATATATTGGCATCAACGTCTAGTTTTAGATTTGCTACTAACATTATATGTTTTAATGACGTGTGGTTTCAGCGCTAGTGCTTACTATGTCAACGGGACAGTGACGTTGCAAAAAAAAATGTTGAGTTGTGTTCTTTTGCAACATGGAAACGTTATTGTGCATGGGTCTCATCAATTGAAAAGTTATGAGCATGACTAGCCGATGCACCATCTAAAATGGGTAAAATCAGTATTTTCTGTGAAGGTTTGGGTATTTATTCCCCGAAAAGAAACTTAATATGAGTCAAGTAGGGAGTTGAAATTAGGCAAGATTATGATATGGAAATTTTATACTAGGTTGTTTAAAAGAGTAGAACAATGTTGTATGTTACAAAGTAAACAAAAGAGTTGTGCTAATGTGAGTTGTAGAGATTTAGAACTGCAAATTTGTCTTGTGTGGTTGATTTTGAGCCTTACATTTGGATGATAGTTTGAATGATGAGATAAGACCGGTGCAAGTTATGAGGAGGGGATGAATACGTTGCATAGTTATGAGACCATACTCGTCAAGTTTCTTTGGTACAATCATCAACAGGGGAAAATAAGGGAATTGGAGGACAATATGATAATTAAATATCTCGAGCTCTTCGAATAAATGTGAGAATCAAACTAAGTATTAAGTGTGGTTTGATAAACGAAACTTTTGAGGACAAAAGTTCGTTAAGTTGAAGTTCGGCCTATAAAAGCAAAATCTCGCTTTGGCTTCACATCTCAAACAAAAAAAAATAGTCAAATGTAGCTCAAGAAGAAACTCTCTACACGTTTGTGCCACAAGGATCGATGACTTTAGCCTTATCATCTTAGGTTTTCGCTGTAGTGCCATCATTGTCTATCTAAGTTTACTAAGGAGTTAGCACAACTGTATCTTGTGAAGTTTGACCACAATGATATACGTGATTAGTTGGGAAGTAGCACATGGGGAGATCACAACCGATGTGCAGTTGGCTATTCGACGCACGATCTCCACTTCAGTTTGCAGTTAGTTGTTTGTCGATTATAAGAAACCGATTAAAAGTTAGTTAGCAAAGAGGAGGATCAAAAGGTTAAAGATTCACTAAAGAACTTTGAAGTTCAACATAACTCAACTAGTTAAGACATATATCATCGATCAAGAGGTCAGAGATTTGAATCTTCTGCTCCATACATTGAACACAAAACATAAAAAGAATAATGAAACAGGAAACCGATGGAGACAGAGATGAGAAAGACTTTTTGATACTCACCTCGTGTGTACGATCAACATATATTTTATGAAAACATAAATATTAATTTTTTCTTTTTCTTCCTTCATTTTTAAGTTTTCATTTAATGATCAAATCAATAATGGCATCCTTTTAATACTAACTTTATTATTTCTCATTACTTTTAAATTATAGAACTTCCTTATAAAATAATTATATGAAAATATGGCTTTCCTTTATTTTTTATTTTTAAATATTTTTATTTGTGAAAATAATTAAACAATCAATATATTTAGGAGCGAGAAAACCAAAATTCCTACACGGAACGTGTTTTTAGTGTATTTACCGTTAGCAGAGATTGTCCGTCCATTACGTATCAACATTAGCCCCACAGTTTTAAAACGCGTATTCTAGAAAAACATTTCTACGTACTTATAAGTACTTCATTTCCTAATTTACCATGAATTTCTAATTTTATACGATAAACTTATCTTTTTAATCGGATGTTTTCGATCAAAAAAAAATCAGAGATTAGAATCTTTTCATTTGAACTTCTTACCCTCGTGGTATTTTAATCAAGAATATAATATATTTTGATAAATTCCATTCGTATCCTAAATTAATAAAATATTTCAAAAATATTTTTAATTTTTATTTTTTATAGACTTTAAAAATACTCTGATAGTCAGTATACGAACAAAACCATGGGTAACACATTTCCAAAATACCCATAAACTTTCAAAAAAAATAACATTATTATCCTTAAATTTTAGAAGAAAAATTAGAAGTTTTGGAGATAATCTAAGAAACATAGAGGGACAGTTTTGGCATCGACGTAATAAATTATAGTTTACCATATATATTATATTTGATATTTTATTATAAGGCAAATATCTAATATTTGCCTTATTATCATAGGTATCTTTCCATTTATTGTTATTTTCATTTATTACTATTTCCATATCCTTATAACTTTCACACCATTTAGGTACCATTTAGGTGTGGTGGATTAATCAAACGACAGTAATAATTTTTTTGAATTATTTTTTATCAAAATAGTTATTAATACTACTCTTAAAATTTCATCGGTATTTTTTAAATTTTTTTAAAATTTAAAAAGTACGGTTAACAACGCTATTGAAAGCGTAGAGTAATAATTCATTAGAAATGTATTATTGAAATTATTTTTGAAAAAAAAAAAAAAAAGATTTGTGAGGATTTAGAGACCGAAAGGTGAAGAAAAGATCACAAGTTTCTTTGGTTAACCCTTTTTTGCTTCCATGATTTTCGTGACAACCTTTTTCTTTTTCTTTTATACCATCAAAAATAATAATAATAATAATAATAATAATAATAATAATAAATACAATTTAATGTTTTATTCTTTTCATCGTTAGAAAAATGTTTAATAAGTTTTCGAAAGGAACGGAAACCTAAAAATATTTTAAAGAATTCTCCTTCTTTTTTGTAGTTCAGTCATATGAATTTCATACTAAAGCGTGTTTTATTTAGAATAATTTTATGTTGGGTGATCTCTTATAAAACATAGCGGAAGCATGACTCGTGTTGGTCTGTGGGGATAGTTTTCGTAAATAGTAACTGAAGCGTGTTTTATTTAGAATAATTTTATGTTGGGTGATCTCTTATAAAACATGGCGGAAGCATGACTCGTGTCGGTCTGTGGGGATAGTTTTCGTAAATAGTAAGTAACGTTATCATGTCACATAGAAATGTCTAATCCAGATTCTGTGTGTTGTTCATAATGAACTTTCAATTTTTTGTCTAATTGATTCTTGAATTTTAAATGAAAAATTAAAAAAAAAATCATTTTTTTTTTAAAAACTTATTTTATTTTTCGATTAAAAATTCAAATAATTCTTAAAAAAAGAAACAAATATTAATTAAAAAAAATATAAAAGTAAACTAAAATTTATAAAAAAAATAATAATTTTTTATAATATAAATTGAAAAAATAAACAAAATAATTAACCAAGTAGGCCCTAAGGTTGTTGGTATTCAAGAGATTGATTTCATTTCATGCCACGTGTCCTATGGAGATTTGATTTAGAATACACTGATTTATTTTATTTATTATAATTCCTATTTATCTAATATAATCATAAATACATTATTTTCTTAAATTGAAAGGCCAATAAATTATTCTTCTTTAATTAAAAAAAAATTAACCTAATTGGCCATTTTGTATAATTAATTAGGGGATATATTCATTTTAATTTAAAAATTGACTTTTTATTTTTACTCTTTCAGTAAAAAATGAATTAAACCCTATTTTAAATTCGGTGAAATCTAGCGAAAATAAGTCCGATTCTTGACTGGACGAACTCAATTCAACGATAATTGATATGTTGTACTAAAAAAAACTCGATTTCTAGGTCAAAATGACGATATTACTCAGTTTTGCTTATCGAACGTAAATTCAGGTCAAATCATTACTTAGGAAAACAAAACCCATGATTAAGAAATTACGAAAAAGTAAGTATAAACACGATCGAGCGTTCTTGAAAGTAATTAGTATTACAATTACAAAGTTCGAGAATTCATTGAACGTTTAAGAAAAACAAGTTGTTAGAAGGTTGGTGACAATGGCATCATCTCCACTACTTGAACACAAGTGTCATCAAGTAGCCATTTCTCAAGAAATGACAATGGAGGATTGTTGTTGTTGTTATTATTGTTATTATTCTCACAAGAAGCTCCCAAGTTATTGTGTTTGCTGTTGTTCAAGTTCTCGGGCGATACCATCGACTCGATCTCCTTCATGGATGCTACCCTGTTCTCATCTTGCTCCGTTTTCATCTCTCGGTATTGGTTAGAAACCATGGAATCTCCACAATGACTTTGTTTTTCATCAAAATGAAATGGATTGTCGTTGTCGTTAGTTTTTGGAGACGATCTCATCCATCCTTCAAGTAGGCGCGAGATGTTCTCGGCACTTGAGTAATAAGTTGACGATGACGACGGTGTTGCAGTGGAGGATCGATTCGGGTAGAAACAGGAGGCGGAGGAGGAATCAAAATCCAAAGTCCTTGTGGAAGAATCATTGAAGAAACCCTTTGAGAAAAACTCTGAGGTTGTTGAGTGATCTAAAACAGATTTGAGTTTCTTCTTCAAGTGAGTATTCCAATAGTTTTTGATATCATTATCCGTCCTTTGCGGAAGATAAGAAGCTATTGCAGCCCATCTACAAATCCAAGATCGAATTTATCGTAACGATCCGTCACTCGAATCTCGAAAGAATTGAACTTTGTTTAAGAAACAAGAGAATTACTTGTTACCCAATAAAGCTTGCAAATGGATGATCATTCCTTCCTCGTGGGGCGTGAAGTTGCCTCTTTTGATTCCAGGCCTCAGGTAATTCGTCCATCGTAGCCTACAACTCTTGCTGCATCTCAAGAGACCTATCGTATATGAATAAAAAGATTAAATTTATCGTAACCCATTTGATCTCGAAGACTTATGGTCGTATATGAATAAAAAGATTAAATTTATCATAACCCATTCGATCTCTAAGAGAAAGAGCACCCGAGAAATCCGACTCGGATCGTAGAAAAGGGAAAGGAGAGAGAAAGAAGAGAGAGAGATACCAGTGTTGGTGGGAACAGATCTCCAGTTACCAGGGCCATGTTGTTGAATGTAAGAGACAAGAAGGATGTCTTCTTCAGGAGTCCAAGGACCCTTCTTGATGCCCACTTTCTCACAGCATGGAGGCCTTCCCATGCTCTCTCTCTCTCTCTGCCTGTCTCTCCGCCTGTCTCTCCGCCTGTCTCTCCCACTCTCTCCCAACTGAAATGGAGGCTCAAGAACTCGTATATTATTTTGTTATATATATAGAGAGAGAGAGTTTTGTGTTTCTGTTTCTCTCCAAACAGTGTGTTGTTGTCAGCATGTGATTGCTTAAATACACACCACTCTTAACTCACCTCCCCAACCCAAACTTTTTTTTTCTTTTTCTACGTGACCATGATAAATTTGACTCCACTCGAGTTTAGGATTGAATAAAAACTTTGAGATTAATTAATTAAAGTTCGGTAGAAAAAATGTGTTCTTCGTCTTTGCTCACGGTAATTGTGACCTTTTGGGAGAATCGATGACCGCATCAAAGATGCACTTGTCAGTGCTCGCGGTAATTTTGACATTTTGGGAGAATCGATGACTGCATCAAAGATGCACTTGCTAGTACTAGTACATCTAAGAATTTTTAATTGACTAGTTGTAAATAGACCCGAACCTACACCGAAGCATTGATAAATAGACCCAAACCTACACCGAAGCATTGACGGTGATTCTCTAATATCACAGAATATAATACTTTTTACTTTTATCTCGGTCTATGATTAGTTCTTATGAATTCATTTGATAATCATTTTATTTTTAGTTTTTAGTTTTTTACACTTTTTTTATATATTTATTTTGCTAATAGGAAATACATATCTAACAATTTTTTGAATTTCATTATAAAAAAAAAAAAAAAAAAAAAAAAAAAAAAAAAAAAAAAAAAAAAAAAAAA